TCGGCTCGTCTATGAAACGGCTCACCCAAATGGACTCGGCCAAACTGCTTAGGAACAGTAGATCTCTTCCTCCACTTTAATATATTGTAAGGATGTATTCTCACGTCATTTCATGCATAGTCTTATGAAATAATATTAATGCATAATTATGCATAATTTAATTATCATGCATATAAAACTATTTTATATATTACCAAGACATATAATCAAGTAGTATATAGATTATATAATAGAATATCATCTTAATATAGTTTGATGACTTACTTCGATATAAGTGAATGCATTTCATTCTACGACAATTTTTCATTCATCTAAAATTGGTTTTGAAATTTCAAATATACTACGATCATCTATTTGACGAGTAGAATAGTTTAGTCTATTTACTTTCGTAATTTGACTATGAGCTCATGCCCGAATATTTGTCCAAAATTGACATTAAGTCACATTTTCATCGTTTTACTTGATCAAAATTAACCAACTTTAAACCAAATTCTAAGAATGAAAACCTTGAGTTACTTTGAAGAAGACGACTCCAAAAGTTAAAAGCTCTAAGAGGGAAAAAGATTTTATTGTCCTTGACCCTAATTCCAAGAAGAGAAAATTAGTTCGGAGTTATGAACCACAGGTAACTGCTTATATATTATACGATTAGTACTTTACTCTTCAACATCATATGGTAATGTATTATGTTGTTTTTTCTAGTAAAGTGAGATTTCGAGAACTTATCTTTACTCTAAAACCAAATTACACTTCATGAACGACTCTCTTAATGTCCTTATTAATTCAGTTATAGACTTTGTATTTGTTTATATGATTACTGAGAAATACTTTTTTCTAAAAAGGAAAAAGAAAACAACAAATCATCTTAAAGTTAATTACTAACGTTATGCCCTATTTTACACAACCTCCATTGTTCATTACATAAAATTCACATGATTCATGCCTTGGATGTTCATTAAATTGCGTCTACACAACCTCCATTGTTCATCACATAGAATTCACATGATTCATACCACGTGATGTTCATTACATTGCATCAAATAATATTTGACTCATTATGGTTCGATCAGAATAACATAGTTCATCTCTTCGAATATAAAGTGAAATGTTGAACTTTGTGTGATGATCATTAGACATGCAAATACACTCATTCACATGATCTGTGTAAGATGAGATGCACGACTGTTTCATGCATAATACACATGCATGCTACACAATTAACTTCAATAGAATTTTATAGTTTCGTCAATAGAAGTCAAAGTTCTAATAAACATTAATATGAGTTGAATTGATAATTCTAACATTTTTAATACTATGTCACCATGTAGAAAAGTTTTATTTATCAGATAAATGTCATATATGCACTTTGCGCAAAATTCAAGTTATAGGATAAATCATTTTGATGCAGGCGTGACTGTGGCGAGTTTGTTACGAAGTGCGCAGAGTTCATAATTCAAGTTACAAAATGCTCGAACCTTGATGTGCCAACTATTCAAGTATGAAAATTAGAAGCGAAGTGATCCCGTTTCGAGGAGCGTTCAGAAGGCAAGGAAGGAAAATAGTATCGCGAATGCATAGTCTACAATAAAAACAACATTGAAATTTATGTTTTTGTCTTTTTGGATGTAAATCACGTTTATCAATCTATTTTTAAGTTATGTTGCTAGTATTAGTGATTTTGTGGTTGGTGAATTTTAAATTGGTTCTTCCATTTCGGTTCACAATGTATGTGGTAAGACATAATGTTTTTTGTATTTTTCAAGAAATCACTCCATTTATATGAATGAAGCTTGATGCCAGCTTGTGTTTTATATGAAATGAAGATGGTGTTTATTCTAATTTCATATCCAGTTCAGAATTTTGGGAGGCATATTTCAACAGTAATGAGATTCCATATTACTGATCCTAGCTACATATTCGTCATTGTTTTGTTTAATCACTGAATTTGGTCACATTAAATGCCCAAACTTAACATTTATAATTCTCCTCATGCATCCTTTTCAATGTCTACATGCTTCAAGATTCGATTTACCATGTTTTGGTGCAGTGACGGATGTAGACATTTTGAGTTATGGACCCAATCAAACTTGCAAAAATAGAGGTGAAGATCAAAACTATCATATTTACATCCACTACATTTTTTCCTCAAACTTTAGTCTTCCCTATCCCTTCATCTCTATCACATATGCTTCATATAATTGTGCTTATAGGTCTTTCTTATTGCACGTTGGAATCTCAATGATATCATAGGAAAGTGTGTGGGAGACTTTAAATAAAATCAACATCAGATGTGGCGATGTAGAGCTACTTGTTTTTGGTTCTAATAAAAATCGTAACAAGTGTTACGTCCCATCAAAGTAACCTATTTGAAAAGTAAAAGGCCTCTTTTTAATGAATAATTCTTCTTGTACATTAGGGGTGCCATAATGGACACATATCACCCCACCATTGGAGAGTGTGTTGGCCCGCCAACACACTCTATGGACACCATTATGGCATCCCTAATGTACAAGAAGAATTATCCTTTCTACTTTGACATGTCATAAAAACGTGTATAAATTAAGCCCCTATTTGACCACAAATTTCTATGTTTTTGTCTCATTTTTACATCATAGACATATGAAGGGTCCAAACCGATATCGAAAATAGTTAAATATGTGTCAAATGTGCATATTAAAAAGGGAAAGTGCTACAAGTACATTAGGGGTGCCATAATGGACACATGGCACCCCACCATTGGAGAGTGTGTTGGTGGGGTGCCACGTGTCCATTATGGACACCATTATGGCACCCCTAATGTACAAGAAGAATTATCCTTTCTGGGAAAAGTAGGAAAAATAGGAATTGATTTCAGTCCAAAAAATTTGGGAATTTGAATGTCATTTGGATGCAATTTAAATTATATTTGGGTTCCATTTGAAAATCCTAAACACTAATCTTAAACTCAATGATCAAGCCTTTCGAATATGTTCACAATACTGATTTTTTATTTAAAATCTTAAGTTGAAAGTTTGTGGGTCACGCGACCCATGAGACCTACTGAGGGTCCTCCAATGTTTTGAGGTATAAGGACAACCTGTTAGTTCTATGGATTTTGAAGCGAGATTAATTTGCAGAGAAAAGAGGTACTGCAGAATTATATTTTGATCACTAAAATCTATTACTAATCCTCTTAAACTTAAAAATTAAGCTTGAGATATGCTTCGAGGAAAATGAAAGAAATAAAGCATAATCTCATAAAGCTACACCGTAATGTTCAGATCAAAATCAAGCGAATGCAATGTCCATAGTTAATTTATACGACTGCTTATGCATTGTTATGAAGTTTGCATAGTATAGAGGAATCTAAACTCATAACAACTACAAGAGTAGTGCTTGTGGAGAATATATATATATATATATATAGGAAATCTACAAAGTTATGTACTTCTGTCCAGCCATCAATTCTATTGACATCAATCTTTTGAACTGCATTGAACAGAATAACTTTTATGGCATCATTTACTACACCTTCATAGAAAACTAAGCTAGATAGCAAATGATTCTCCTCTCAATGTAGAACATATAAAGAACTATTAGACCTCATAACTAGACAACAGCGGAGCTACTTATTTATTTAAACAAACAAAGAATTTGAAGACTATTTTGTACCGTCCTGCAGTGTGCATACTGTATCTGTTGACGAAAAAATTGGTCTAATACCCTTATATAAGGAAATAATATATCAAATTGGAGTTACCTAGCCTAAATAAATATTGACATAATAAACTTATCATAAGATGCTATAGTTTAGGAATCTAGGATCAAATCAAGATAATCATGAGTAGTCGAATATGTGAAACCGAACTTGGGAGACATAAACCAACTACCTATATCTAAAACATTCGAAAAACTTATAATAATTAAACATACAAACGAAATCTTTCGTACCATTTGTTTGATTCTAATAGAATTGAATTTTAGTGATCTCTTTAATTAAAGAATGAGAACCAAAATACCCTATACTATTTTTCCACTAAATTCACTAGAACTGTCCAAGTCCTTTATATTCTGACTAGTCAGTAATTCATTCATTCCCATCCATTATTGAGAAGTATAGATGTGGATGCCATCCAGTGACAAAAAAAATTATATGGTGGAAAATAACCAGAAACGGTGACATTTGAAGCACATCCAAATTCTATTGCAATTTGACAAGGGTTATTTAATTTAGCTGGTTAGCAAATGTATTAGTTTAGGAGCATGGATATACACTACGCCAAAAATGAGCTTTTGCAGCGGCCAAAAATGAGCTGCAAAAGACCTTTTACAGCGTTTTTCCAAGTGTTGCGAAGGTCG